TACTTGGGAGGATATTGTACATACATGGGAATTATGTTAAATAATAAAATTGTTCTAATTTGGGAGGAGGAGAAAAAAAAGATTACGACTTAGAAAACCCTGTGTGTCAACATAAGGGTTTGGTTTAGGTCTATTTTCCAGGCCTGGCTAACACATTTTCTTCAAAGAAATGAAATAAAAATTGAGAACAGGAACCTTTGCCGTTGTGTTCTCAGCTATATTCCCAGCACTTACTGAGTGCTTGGCACGTAGTAGGCTTTCAGTACTTTGATGAACATTGTTAAGGGGGGAAAGTACAGATATCATGCAGAAATAGCCTTGTATTCCTATAACTTTATTGATAACAAATTAGTAAAATATAGGTAACAATGAGAACTAGACAAGGAAACATAGGCAAGGCAGAGGAATAGATTAGAAATTGAGCTAATTATGCAGTACACATGACTACTTGCTTAACCTTGTTAAGGCCAACCAAAACGTTTCAAATAAACATTAAAACTGTAATATTTTATACCTTTCAGATTGTAAAAAAAAATTAGTCAACATTGTTGACAAGGAAGTACATTCTTATAATAACTTGTTTAGAGAGCCGTTTATAATTTTTAAAACCTTGAAGTCATATACTCTGGTTCAGAGGAGTTCTGTTTCTAGGCAGTCATCTGTCTTAGTTATATTTAATTCTCATTCCCTGTCTCTCTCGTTGTCACTGAGTAAGAACCACCATAGAAAGCTCTGATTTCTTAGTGGTAAGGAGTTGCGCTGCCAAAACAAAGGTAAGTGGTTCGTATCCACCCACTGCTCTGTGACAAAAAGATGGACATTCTTCTCCTATGTGATTTACTGCCTCTGAAATCCCACTGGGGTGGGAGGCGGCAGGTCAGCTGTGGGTCGGTTCTTACTCGATAGTTCATAGCTACCACCACTGGGTTTCTGAGGTTGCAAATTGCATTTGGAAGTCTGCAGTGAGGGACCTCTCCAGAGTACTGAAGAACAACGATGTCAGTCTGGAGATTAAGGTGTGCCAGATCCAGGCCTTAGTCTTTGCAGTTACTTGCAATGCATCAGAAAGTTGTACAGTGACTAGGGATGATAGAAAGAGAATTGATGCCTTTGAGCTGTGGTGCTGGAGAAGAGTATTGAATATACCATGGACTGTTAGGAGAACAAATAGGTTTGCCCTGGAGAGGGTGAAGCCAGGCTGCTCCTTTGAGGCAAGGATTCTGAGGCTTCATCTGACATACTTAGGGCATGTTACAAGGAGGTACCAGTCTTTGTAGGGAGATGTCATGCTTGGAAGGGTGGTAGGATAGCACAAGAGAGGAAGACCCTCAATGAAATGGATTGACTCAGTGTCTGGGATAATGAGGGTAGGTGTTTCAGAGACAATAAGGTTGGTGCAGGATAGAGCAGGTTTCAGGGCTGTTGTACATAGATAGGGTCGCTCTGAGTCACAAGTGACTCGATGACACATAACAAAACCAAAAATAAATCAAATGGGAGGAGATTGCCTGTTTTTTGCCCTCAGAGGCACTTGGGTGTTCACCTGCCAGATGGGCATATCCTTTGGGCTAGCAGCATAGCCCCCTGCTGACCAGGCCACCAGAACTCTGCTGTAACAGAAACGCCACAAATCAGTGGATTTAAAAACAGACATTTCCTTTCTCCCAGTTTGTGCAGGCAGACGTCGGATTTCAGTGTGCCGATTCTGGGGAGGGCTTGCTCTGTTGACTCTGGAGGAAGACTCTGGTCTCTTTGGAGTTTCTGCACCTGGGTGATTGTCACGTAGCTTGGTCTCTATCTTCCTCATCTCTGCTTGTTCACCTGCTGGTGTCTTCTCTTTCATATCTCAGAAGAAATTGACTTGCTTTCTCTTTTCTGCGGACAGCATTTTCTCAGAGTTCACCCCATCTTTCCAGGGGTCCTTTCCCCTCTTTTTTCTTTTTCACTTAACTCTTTTGTGTGGCCTACATTTCACTAGCTTTGCCTCTGCCATATTACCTTAATAAACCTTTTTTACTTGTTTTGCTAAAAAGAAAAATAAATTGACTTAAGTTGCACTCTTTACTAATGTTATGTGCTATTGTGTCCGAACTGACTCGTAGCTGAACCTCTAGTGAGTTTTCAGAGACCGTAAATAGCACAAGAGAATGCCTACATTTCTTCCAAGGAGCAGGTAGTGGATTCAAACCACGTGCCTTTGAGTTGGCAGCACAACTCCTTACCCACTAGGCCACCATAAGAAAGAAAGCCCAATCCCAAGTGGGCTCTGTAGCCATAGGTATAGGGATTAAGATTCTTCGCATTTATTTTTTAGAGCGAAATTTAAACCGTAACATCCTCCTACAGAAACAGTATTATTACCAGTGAGCACAGATTCTTTGGCCCACTGAATTAGTAAAACATTGGCAAGTGTCTGAATGTCCAGTGTTAGCTTATTGGACAGGTAGATTCTTGATCATTGGTGCCATGAAACAACACAGCAGTGGAAACAAATGAGCGAGAACCACACGAAAAGACATGGAAGCATCCCTGTGGTTAACTGTACGGCAGCAGAAAGCGAGTTGCAGAGAGGTAGGTATGATCCCTTCCCATAATCAAGGCTCAGTGCTTAGGCCATTTATTCTCTCCCTGATGAAAAGTGTCTTCGGTCCTTTTTCTGCCCTAGTGACCACGTTCTCAGAAACAGGCTCACAGTCATTGTGACTGTGGGGGTCAGCATGGGCAGGATACATTTGTATTTCATCCCCTTTACCTTTCTCCTTTAAGCCATTCGCTGTGCCTCCCCCTCATCCTCTCTTACACTCTGAGCATCGCAACCACTCAGCTCTCTGACCATGTTTTGTCCCTTGCACTGCTGTCTTGTTCAATTTGCTGCGCCTCCTTCCTTCGTAAGGAGCTCTGAGGACGTGGTGGTTAAGTGCTTGGTCAGCTCAGTGAACACACCAGTCACTCGTTGGAAAGTGACGTGGCAGTCTGCTTCTGTAAAGATTTACAGGCTTGGAAGCACCATGTGGCAGCTCTCCTCTGACACACATAGGTCACCGTGAGTCACCCTTGAATTGCCAGCAGCTGGTTCGGGTAATGCCTTTGTAAAATCTTACATAGGAGACCTTTCCCCCCAGGTTTCTTCTGCCTTCTACTGTGGGGTTTCTGTGAGTGTGAACAGACATGACTTGAAAGCAAGGGTTTTTTTGTTTTGTTTTTTTATTACTTTTAAGTGGAGCTCTGGTAGCCTAGTGGCAAGAAGATGCACTGCAGTCCCAAAGACATGCGGTTCAAGATCCCGAAGGCACGCAGTTCAAGGCCACTAGCTGCTTGGCAAAGAAGAATGGGCAGTCTCCTCTCATGCATTTAACTGGCATTGAAAACCCTGGAGGGTCTGAGCTATGAGTGAGTTCCTGCTCAACAGTACACAGCAGCAACAACATGACTTTTAAAATCCTTTCTCGGAGTACCTGGGTGATGCTGACTGTTAACAAGCTCTGCTGCTAATCAGACAGTGGTTTCGAGTCTGTCCAGAGGCACCTTGGAAAAAAGTCCTCACTATAGCCATTGAAGACCCTACGGAGGGAACATAATTCTACTCTCCCTGAGCTGAGTTAAGTTAGAAGCATCTCTGCCATCTTTTGTTCCCACCCATCTCTGTGCAGGAAGGGAGTAAAGCCTGAATAAAGTAAGCACTTCTTACTTAACCAGGAGTCAGACAATCTGAGTTCTGTATCTGCACTTGTCTCTTAATAGCTGTGTGATTTTCTGCAAGTTGCTTTACCTCTCTGTGCCTCATTTTTCTCATCGCTATAATGAGGACCCACCCTCATACCTATTTCATGGGTTTTTAAAATAAACATTAAGAGATTAATACAGCAGAAGTGCTTGGAACCATGTCTGACACATAGTTGGCGGTCAGTACGTGTTAGCTATTATTGTAATTGTATGTTTACTTCTCTGACTCCTCAGCTAAACCAGTATGCTTACAGGCAGTAATTGTGCACTTTTCTAAATTTTCCATCCCCAGTGCCTTCCAGAGTACTTGGCACATGGCAGGCTTGAAATAAATGCTTGTTGAATTAATAATGATAATTAATATAATTGCCTGCCACGATCCCTTATTGGGCTTTGACCCTTTGTGGGTTCTGCATCCTGTAGGGATCTAATATGGTAAAATCTGGCTGGGAAGAAACACCGAAAACCCGCTCTGTTGTGTCAGCACCTCCATCAGGAAAAGCACTGGCAGTGATAGTTTTCAGTTTTGACAAATTCAGAACCAACCCTTGCCTTCAGGGAACTTAGGATCCAGTGGGGAAGATGAGGTACAAGCACAATTTTAGCAACAGTTACTCATTCACTCCTTGCCCATTGAATCAGAATGGTTTCACAGCTCACCCTCCACTGGGTTTCTGTGTCTGTAAATTGCGCGGGAGGAGATTTCCCATGTTTCTTCCTCAGAACTGCTGGTGATTGGAACTGCCAGAGAGTTCACCTCACCATAACCCTAACAAGAGAAGATTTTTATAGTTACGTGTGAGAACAATAGAGACAGAACAGAGTCACAGTTACTAGCTTGTTAAGGTAGGGACTTAACCAGGGTTAGATTTGATTTCTTTATCTTGTGTACTTCTCTCAGTAGACGCATAACTTCTCCTTGTCTGTCTGACATAAACTACCATCAGAAATCATTTCCAAAACTTAACATGGGGGCTCAACATGCAGCCAAATAATAGGTTTATAAGGCGACCCTTATCACCAGGGAGGCAGTCGCCCCTTGTAGTAGCCCACCCTATAAAGACAAAAGGGTTGCATTTGCCCAGCAATAAACCCTAAAAATCAGGCAGGGGGTAGGGTAGAGGGATTAGTGGAAATAAGAACCACAGGTGGTAAGTGGGAAAAGTTCAGTTACATTGTGGATGTTATTATTAATGTTATAAAATAAGTGGACGCTGCTGGACGGCTGACAGCCACTTTGAAGTTCAGCCCTTTCGTCACCCGTACCCCGCAACAAGAACCGCAAACGCCACGTCAATTCCCCCTCGCACATGCGCAGTAAGATCATGTCCTCCCCGCTGTCCAAGGAGCTGCGGCAGAAGTACAACCTGTGCTCCATGCCCATCCGCTAGGACAACGAGCTCCAGGAGGTGCGAGGACACTACAAAGGGCAGCAAATTGGCAGGTAGTCCAGGTGTACAGAAAAAAAGTATGTCCTCTACTTAGAAAGAGCGCAGCGTGAGAAGGCTAATGGTACGACTCTGCAGTGTGGGCATTCACCCAAACAAGACGGTTATCACCAGGCTGAAACTAAATAAAGATCAGAAAAAAATTCTTGAACGTAAAGCCAAATCTAAGCAAGTTGGAAAAGAAAGACAAATACAAGGAAGAACTGAATGAGAAAAGAAAAGCATGAATGCAACCTCAGGAGCAACCACAGTTCATCTAGATTTCTGTCTGAGTATGCATTCTTGTGACGTTCCAAAATTTCCCTCTTGTTCAGAAGTGGATCTATAAATCTGCCTTTGCAATTTTGATTCATATTTTTAAGAATAAAAGTTGGAAACATTAAAAAAACAAAACCAACAAAAATATGTATAAATAATTGAAGGGAAAACCAATTTGCTTTGTAAACCTCCACTCAAATCACAATTAAAAAACCCCACATCCCTGGAAAGAATTATGCTAAGTGAACTAATTCAGCCCCATGAGGATAAATACTGTATAAGACCATTATTGTAGAACGTGTAAGAGGATCCAAGGGGGACAAGGGGATGAAAGGGGGAAGTATAGTTGTTGTTGTTGGTGGTGGTGGTGATTATAATCATAGGGTCACTCAATTTGATGGGTGGAGGGAGGGATAGGTAAAGGAAATGGGAAAGATATGGTGTGAAAAACAATGTATATGAACTTTGTAAGTAAACCGGCATAAAAGAAAAATTTTATTAAAAAAATAACCCTCAAATAATTTCTAGATCCATCACTTCATCAGTGGTTATAAAATGATGTTGTTGTTATGTGCCATCGAGTCGCTTGCCACTCATAGCGACCCTATGTACAAGAGCTCTATACGCTCTTCTATCCTCTGCCAACCTAGCCATCTCAAATGCACTTATTCCCACCTCTCTAGTCACAGAATTAATCCATCTCATCAAAGGTCTTCCTCTCCTTTGCCGCCCCTCCACTCTGCCAAACATGATGTCCCTCTCCAAGGACCAGTCCCTCCTTGCAATATGCCCAAAATATGTTAGACGAAGCTTCAGAATCCTTGACTCCATCCATGTTCTGGCTTCACCCTCTCCAGGACAAACCTGTTTGTTCTCCTAGCAGTCCATGGTATATTCAACACTCTTCTCCAGCACCACAGCTCAAAG